GTTTCAGCCGCTTACAATAGTTTAATAAATAATCTCATATGTATCTATTTTTTAGCTTTTATTTATATCACCATATTTTTATTTGTTACTATTAAGAGTGTTAAAAATATTTGACATTTCTGTTAACTGTCAGACTAGTTGTTTTCCCCATGGCACACTGCAATTAATTTATTTTGCTATGTAATGAAAGTTGAATTTGGAGCACGTTGGGAATGATTGAAATCGATTTTACTGGAAAACGGCACATCCTAGTGAAATTTAACAAGAGGACCTTTTTTATGTTAAATACTTCAAATTTCAATATTTTCGAGTCAGGAACTAGAAAAAATTGACTACAAAAAAGATATGATTAAATTTGTCCCTGGGTCCTGCATTTTCTCACGCCCCTGTAGCAAATTTTGAAATGTATTTTATGAGACTTATTAAGCACGTCAAGGTTAATATCTCACCAAAATTTCGTGACTTAATGTCGAGCCGTTTGGATGTTACGCATTAAAAACTGTTTCCGAGGTTACCCCTTTAGGAGAGCGTAGCTCCCTTAGGAGCCGCCACTGACAAAAATTGTACTAAAGTTTTCGTCATTTTTCGACTTGTTTTACAAGCTCAGAAATTTTGAATACTTATTTCAGTTACACCTTGTATATTTAGATTATTAAAACAGTACAGAAATTCCTGGCATCTGTTACCATCGTTCGCCTTTGAATTGTACTCAAATACCCATTTTTCTAATATAGGTCTCTCCAGACGGAAACACTTAACTCAAAGCGTTTCCGGATTGTTCAGATATACATTTTTGATGAGGATTTCTGCGTGACTGATATATGTTCCGGGTCAGTTCTGATTTCATTACTTTTATTACCCCAGAACTATTTGTTTCCATTTAGGAAACGGGTTAAGTATTTTTTCCACCCACACATAAATTTTGTTTAGGGCTGTGACATTTAGCACCCTGACATTATGAAATGGGGTATAAAAAACGTTATTCCGTTCCGCGAAATTAGTTTTAAGACTATTAAGGCTCAAAGCCGTTCATTATTTGGAAATGACGATGACCATATAAAGCAGAACACGTACCTAGCTTATAAAGATTTTAACGTTGTCAATTCCTGTGCACGGGAAATCTCAGTTTCCTTCAATTTTACTGCTCGCAATAAAAAAACTGTTTTCCTCTAACGGGTACGAGATATAAATAATTCAATAAAGATCTCATTTCTAAACAGGCTAGACATGTTATACCTTTCTATCTGCCAGACCGTAAGCTATGTAGGAACAAAAAACAAACTTTTTTGCCCGAGAAGAAACTCAGACAAAACTTGTATAGCGAGTAAAAGATCTGGGCCAGATTTATTAACTGGAAATTATGAGTTCAGATTAGAGAAAAATAATACCATAAACAATATAGGTACTTACAGTAAAAGGCTATTTAAATATAAAATAAAAGAATTTATCTCACTAAATATCTTTCGTTAAGTCCACTTGATTATAAACCATATTTTTAATGTTCTTTGTTTCATTGTACGCCTGCTGTGAAAGAATACACGCGATCGTAATGAAACTGTGGCGGTTTTGTAAAGGTGTATTGTTTATTATTATTAAGCTTGCTCCCTTTTGTGCGAAGAACAAAGCAAGACTTCTTCTCGGTACTACTCTAATTACTCTTTACTGGCCTAAAAAATATTTATTTTTGTAATAATAATTCAAAGAAAACGGTTGCTGGTTTACAATATGAAATGTAAATGCAAAACAGTGTGATTGATTAAATTTATTAGACTGGGAATATTTATTTAATACATTTGCAATTATTTATTAATATTAGCCCGGTATTATTTCAGAGTTACATTGTTTAAGCAAATACATCCAATGAATAATTAATTAAACGTGCATATTTTTATCATTGTCCAATTTAGGTTTGACAGCAAATGTCCGATTATTTATTTACTGTTTAGTACTCGGTCTAGTATTATTCCTAGAATTTCAACTTATAAATAAACAGGTTTGTATTTTCAACTCTAATAGAAATTGTAGAATTAATTAGTATTGCAATTTCAGTGTCATTTTATATAATTTTATTCAAACAAAAAGTGACACAACCGTTGCATTCTTATAACTGCACTCTTTGCATTATAAGAATATACAGAGTGATGATAAAGTTTGGAACAAAATTCATAATTTATACTGTGATTTTTAAAAAAGAGAGACAGGTCGATTTTGCTCTCGAGAAGGGCATCTTTTAAAATGATTCAGTTGTATACAGAGTGACCCAGAAAAACTGGATGGCCAATAAATTTTGTTTTTTTTTATGGAACACACTGTACATTTTTTCATATTTGGATAAAGCTTTCTCTTACGAATGTAAGGTTTGATGGGTCTATCTCAAATAACAAGCAATATATTGCGAGAAAATTACATTTATTTCAAAAAATTATTTAATGTCATTTTTCATAAAAGAAATTGTGCTTGGAAACGAAATAAATGCAAATAATTAACGAAAAAAAAAAACAAAAAAGTTTGGAAGTTTAGCAATAAAGATTAGAGTTCTTTTTGTTGGCACTCAGGTCACTGCTAAAAATTATTAAATTTCGTTTTTTGGTCGTTGCTTAGAAACAAAAACAACACTGACATTTTCACAGAATAGTACGTTATATAACCTTAATAAACTTTGCAAATTTATCAGCGAATTTTTTAGAGTTTAGAAAGAATGGCACATTTAACTGAACTTGAAAGGATAGAGATCTTAATGATTGTTGGATATGATGATAAGCTACTTGACATTTTAGTAATCACACTAACTGCGTCATCGTACAATAACATGTACATATCTGCTTCTGATTTTAAGCTTCGCATCGATCAATTTATTCGATACGTATAGCGTATAGCGGCACCCCATTCGAGGTCTTTTGCTGAGGAACGTTGGATGTGCATTTCATTGTCTTTTGTACGTGTGTGAGTGAGTTTGACGCTTTGCTTCGTCGATTGTTTGGTACATGTTTTTTTGGTAGTTAGTATCATTGTGTTTTGTGAGCATAGAGCTGCACACGGCTTAACCATACATTTACCATGTTTCTGCTACTACAACGCATATTGCCACTTACTATTAAAATATTACTACTTTTTATTTATTTGCTAGTCACCACAAATTTTCCGATGTCTAGTCATCAGCAAGTATTATTTTTATTACTAGCATTACAAATTGCTATTATTTCAGAAATTGCAGCAATTCCTAATATTATAAAAGGCACTTACATCATTTAAAATGAAGAAAATGGTTTCATTTTGGTATGAGCAATATTTTTTAATCCTTTATTAATGACAAAACTAAATCAAAATTCTCTTTCGACAATAAATTGAAAAAGGAAAAACATTGTAAAAATAAACTTAGGGTTACTGCAAATTTTGATTATTTTTCAGACAACTGCAAATTTAAAGACAATTAAAACAATACAAACTCTAAGCTGCAGTATTTTTTCTATTTTTTTGTTGAATATAAATTTCTTTTGAACTATGTACTTGGAATACTAAACAAATCTCCATATCGCCAACATAAAGTGCATTCATCGGGAACGTACAACTTATGAAAACTGATCATATAAAGCAAAAAAAATGCATCTGACTTATCTTTGCGACAATCATTTGTTCCTTTTCTAAGATGTTAAAATGAAAGTACAAAAATTGAAATAATATTAAAAACAGTTTTGTTATTGACTTGATTAAATATTAAGCTGTGGTTTTAAGGATTATGTTTATTTCACAAAACAAAATAGTGGTGAATGAATTTTTATAGGTATTTTATACTGTTAAGCACTAAAATGCTATAAATACAACGAATATGTCTCGAATACCTAAAAAGTTAGTCTTGTTTAGTTATGATTAAGTATAGGATATACTAATTTTGTTCATTTAAATAATAATAGCAGTAGTAATAATAATAACAAATACTAATAAATAAGGCTAAATTGTCGACAATACACCACCATAAACACTAACAGATAGGATTTAATTACGCAACATCCACACGATAACAAAGACAACAGTATACTAACGTGACGTCACGCATGTCTCGGTTGACTCGCTTGGCACGTCATTGAATTGCGGCTCTCTCTGACAGCCCTACTAATAAATGTCATTATTTAAAATAATTGTACATCTTAATCGACCATTCACAATTTTTTAAATTATTTATTTCATGTCTTTTCTATTTCTAAAATGGTATGAAGTTTAGTGAAGGACAGTTAAAAAATATAAATTAAATGACAAAATACAAATTAAATAAAAATTAATATTATTCTCCAATAAAATATAGATACAATTTTTTATAATCAGTTATGTCACAGATGAAAAAGAGACTGTTATACGGAAATACAATATGACGACTTTTTTTTGAGCAATGTTTTGGAAGATCCTCATCATTCATTATTTAAACTGTTATAAACCTTCACTATATTATAAAAAATGATCTAATAGGCAACAGGCAGAGAGGTTAAGTTGGCAATACTTGAACTTCTTGTTGTCGTCTCTTTCCTAAATAAATCTAGTTACGTGAAAAGCCCATAGTATACATTTTCAGCATTCATCAATTTCGATAATTCAATAATTCGAAATCAGTTCTGAGTAACAAGAAATCACAATATTTAACGTCTTCTATTTCGATAAAAAAGTATTTGAGGACCCGTGTTTACATACATTTCTCGTCTTGTTTCCATGAAAGCAAATCGCTCTTAAGATGATACGGTATAGTTTTAAATACCATATGTTTCGAAAAATATTGTAGGACTTATTCCAGTACGCACAGTAGAATAAGCACATTGAAAAATATGTGGGACCTAGACACGCGTTGACTTACAAATATATTTGAACTCATGACGAGGAAAAGTGGTGGTGTCCTAACAGCTAGTGTTTTTCTGTTTCAGCAGTGTTGTCAGGAGAGCGACAGCTGCGTTTCGAGCAGCGGTCCCCTGACATCATCGAACAGCCACTGCCCTCCCTCTAGCCCGCGCCCCAGGATGACCGTCAATTCGCAGTCGGGCCCCCCCAAGTCTCCCCGACCCCCCGACGACCTTATCACCACTGCCACTTCTGCCCTCCGACGACTCCATTTCAAAACCGGACGAAATGCGACCAAAACATCCTCGTCCAAGCAACAGCCACAGGTATCGTGGGTAGTTAATGTCGTGCTTTGTTTGTTTTGATGTTTTTGATACTTTTTTTTACCTCATTATCCCTTTTTATAACCCCATTAACAAAGCACATGTTTGTCCAGAACGACACTTCTCAGTTTTATGAGCTACCTACTTTGGAATCATTTGTGGGTGAATGTAGATCAACCAAATGATTTTAACCTTAACATATACATTACATACGTGTTTTTGTTTGTGTGTAGTGATCGCATCTATGTGCGTGTATCTGTATATGGGATATGGTAACTAATTTTGTATCAAAATGCACTTTTTGACCACAAAGAAAACATTGTTTTTACAAGCTTTTATTTAACTTGCAATGTATGTAATATGTTTGTTCGGGTGGAATCTTGCAACTCAATTTTGAAGCAGATATCCTCAACCGATTGAGCTGAAATTTTGTATACACGTTCAGTTTGGATGACAATGCATGGTTAACTATGTGACGTCATTCTAAATCGAACATGGCGGCACATGCAAGATGGCGGACTAATTATTTTTTTAATGCACTCCTACAATATGGGTATCAAATGAAAGGGTTTGCTAATAACTCGAAAATTAATGTGACGTCACTCTAAATCCAATATGGCGGACTTCTAAAGCTTGAAACTCAATTTTGAAGCAGATATCTTCAACCGATTGAGCTAAAATTTTGTATACACATTCGGTTTGGATGACAATATGTGATTAGCTGTGTGACATTATTCTAAATCCAACATGGTGGAACGCCCAAGATGGCGGACTAATTATTTTTAATGCTTGCCTACAATATGGGTATCAAATGAAAGGACTTACAGAGAATACGTATGCGAGTTTAAAAAAAAAAATGCTGAACATAAACTCCGTTATTCAATCCGTCTGAAAGTTGAAATAAGTGGCGCATTCCTCCAAATACCCAAGTCAAGGTGAGGCCGTGCCGAGGACTGAGTGGCATCAGGGTGTAATATGACGTCGTTGACGTACCCGCCTCAGGGCAACGGGGCGAAATTATACCATCCGACATAAACAAGACAGGAGGGCTACCTAAGGAGTTAGAAATATTCGTTGGGGCCAAGGTGATGTTGCGTTACAATGTAGATGTGTCCAAAGGTCTGGTGAATGGTGCCATTGGCCATATTACAGAAATCATATGGCCCTGCTTCCGGAGAGCACAAATGTATGAAACTAACACACTATCCGTCCGTATAGACTTCGATAAAGACGGTTTTCACCTTATCCAACCCAAGTCTGTGCAATTTCCAGCAAAATATAGTCACGGCACTGCAGAACGAAGAATGCTACCAATTATATTATGTTGGGCTTGCACAGTACACAAAATGCAGGGTAGTACCGTCAACCATGCCATGGCTTGTTTACACGGGAACAGTCAACTAAATTTTAACTAAATTTTAAGTCACTTGAACCTATTTATATGTGGTAAGTAACAAGTTATGGATCAAGTAAAAATTTAGTACACTCGAATAGAATTTATTCTCTTTTTTCGTGCAAGTTGACGACTTGCACCGAACTTTTCCCTCCTGCTGATCCACTTTTGCTCCCAAAGTCGTTTAGGTCTATTTTTCTCTTCATATATTTCTTCATTTATTTCTTCTAATATAATATTTAGGATATCGCGTAGTATGCCATTAAATTCTTCTACAAACTGCTGCCTCACGTTCATCTCGTCAGGTTTGCAAATATATAAACTGCACTAGAACTTACCAACAACTAAACTTAGAACTTACCAGTGCGAACAGCACTTGCAGAAAAAGCAGTAACTTAAAATTTAGTTA